GGGTGGCTTTGGATGCGTTTTCAGCGCCAAACGACGCGGTGGAGGGTCGATTGTTGTTAAGAAGCTCATTCGGCAGCATGACCGTGAGAAGCGTTTGTTCATGAAAGAGGCGCGGATCCTCAATTCCCTACATTACAAGCTTATCGTCGAAATCAAAGCTGTATGCGAAAGTCCTGTAGCAATGATGCTTGAGTACGTATATTTTGATTTCACGCCATTCGGGCTTGAAGGTCGGGTAAGTTCACTGCAAGATTACTTGGATTACACGAGTGGGAAAGAAGAAGTAGTGTCAGCGTTGGCCTGCTTGCACAGCAAGATTGCGGAAGACACCTCTCTTGGCCTACAGTACCTCCACGAGAGAAATATCGCGCACAGAGACTTGAAGCCAGGAAACGTGCTTATTTCTAACCAGCATTACTGCCATTATAAGAACGAGGATGAAATTCGAGTAGCCTGGGAGAAGGAAGCTGTCCTTTGCAAACTGGTGGACTTTGGAGAAAGTCGAGCTTCCTTACAACAGACTGCGACATTATGTCACTCGAGAACCACCAACGTCGACCGCGGAACTGTTGTCTACATGGCTCCGGAGATAATCACTAGCACAGGCGAAGCTATGTCCCTTGAGCAGTTGAAGGCCTGTGATGTTTGGTCATTGGGAATGATTATCTTCCTGCTATTGAATCCTGATTTAGAGTTCCCCTACCAGTATGAGCTTGACCAGGTTCCGCAAAAGAACTTCCAAAGCTTACGAAATGAGTTGGTGAGTAGATTCAAAGAACGTATGTTACCGTCTTGGTCTTCCAAATACAGCAGATTTCAAGCAACAATCTGGCGAGAAATGGAATCAATTTTTAGCCAATGCACTCTTTTTTGTTCTAAGAGCAGGCCTATAGTTCGCGAAATAGTCCAGCTGTTTCAGGCTGCTAAAATCAAGCCACCATGCAGTGACATACCACTCTCGACTAGCCAAAGCACCGCAATCGAGCGCCATGATAGGCTTGTCGCAGTTGGAGATATTCCCCTGGATCAAAATATCCCAGACGATGCTACCAACAGCTGCGCCTTTCTATCTATCCTCGTCACAGAGTTAATTGCTGGGAAGGGAAGTGATTGGGATTCTTTTTGTGCAGCCGAACAATGGTACGCGCTGTCCAGAGAAATCGACAAGATTATTATGACCCAACCCACGCTGTTCAACCCCTTTCGAGATGTAACAAAGCTGTACGATGTTTCAGAGGCTTACACTATTCTACGAAAAGCAAATATTTTATCTGTAGAGCTTGACTTTCGTGAAGAGATCGTCACTTCTCATGGAGTATTCTCCAAAGATGGACGGGATGCACTCCTCAAGGGTGTTAATGCATTATCAACTGCCTGCTCGGTTACCAACGTTGCAATTTACAGCTGTGGCCGCTATATATTTGTTATCGGTTGTCATGGCGACCAGTATTTCATCGTGGACACGCATCCCATATCAAAAGAATTGGGGGGTGAGGGTACCGGTCTTCTCAAAGTATACCCCGCCCAGGATTCGCACTACCGT